AGAGAATGTAAGTGACTTGCTTATTTTGGCCCAAACATTTTCTTACCGTCCGAAACTTAGGTCTGTGGTCTGATATTCTAAAGAAAATAAGGAAGAGAGAAAGAAAGAAAGAAAAAAAACATTCATGCGTGTTTTTGCCAAGTTCCCTTGCCTGATATCCTGGATGTGTCATTTGACTCGCCGTAGGTAACTAGGCAAACTGGTCCGCTAATCAGTGTGGTGTAACTATGAAGGGGTTGAAGTAGGATCAAAGAGAACATGTTTTGAGTTCTTCCTCAGTGATGAAGCTCTAAGTCCAACTGCTTTTTGGGGTTAGGGTAATGGGAAGGTTGAAGGAGAGGGAGTTTTGTGCATTAACTATTAGTATAACTGGTTCCTAAAGAGCCAGTTTGGATTAGTGGTTAAGGCCTGGATTTAGAATTCAGGAGGTCATGAATTTGAATTAGAAATCAGGAAACACTGAGCTTGGATTAGGAGATCATTAGCCAGGAGACCATGAGAAGCCAGAAGACTCATGAGAAGCAAGAGGCAGAAGACCGTGAGTTAATTAGAAGCCAAGAGACCAGGAGAAACCAGGAGACCATGAGCCAGGACATCATAAGAAGCAGGAGGCCATAAGCCAGAAGATCCTGAGCTTGGATTAGAAGCCAGGAGACCATGGAAGCCAGAAGACTCATGAGAAGCAAGAGGCCAGGAGGCAGAAGACTCTCAGCTTGGATCAGAAGCCAGGAGACCATGAGTTCTGCTCTGGCTGTAGGCACCAAAGCCAGCTGCCTGATTTTGGGCTGGTCCCTGTCTCTCAGCCCAAGAGCCAGAGTCATATAATGATGAACGCTTCATGGGACAATGCTGAAAGTTGCTGGACTAGCAGCCCAGAGACCCAAGTTGTAGTCTCGTCTCAGCCATGGGAATTTCCCTGGGGGAGGCAGAGCTAGTCCTCCCTGGGTCCTAAGAAGCCCTCCCCAAAGATGTTGCCAAGAAAGCTGTATGGTCTTGTCTGTGAGTTGCCAGAAGTTGAGGCTGACTCAAAGGCAGACACACATAAAATTTTTGGTTCCTAGTCAGATTTGTGCCCCATTATTCAAATTCTCTTTGGTCCCCTGTGCCAAGATTCTTGGGGGGGGGGAATGCAAAATCCATTTCTCTCCTTCCAGTCGCCTCCAAGCGAAACATGTTTCCAGAAGGGTCATGCTGACACAGGATGATGGGCCTCTACTTGTATGACTGTCAAAACAAGGGAGATACCAGATACGGTTTCTGAGGGAAATGTTATGAAATGTGAGCATTGCTGTAGAACACGGTTTCTTCTCCAGCCCTTAATTAATAAGGGACGACGTTTGCTTGGATTCAAAGCAGGGTTCCTTGTTCCAACTTGGCATAGAGGATCGCCTCTTTTTCCCTCCATTTTTTCCCCCATTTTGCTTTGCTTTCTGGACTTTTTAGGCCAAGCTTCAAAAATGAAGCTGATTAGCAAACTGGATGTATGCCTTTTTTGCTCAGATAAGGATCTTCCCTGCCTGTGTATTTTTTTTCCTCTAAGGTTGTGTTTTCGTAAAACTGGAGTTGTTTCCATGTTTCGTAATTTTGGAAAGAGGAGCCTCTGGAAAGATGTGGGTTCCAAACGTTCCTTCTGAGGGGGTCTGAAGATCACCGGGGATGGACCAAACCTATTTCCCACTGGCTGCAGGACTAACCTGGTCTCTGCAACCAATTCTGGTCCCCTCCCTTCTTTTAGAACTTCAAGGGAGCCAGTCCCACCTTAGAAGAATCTGTAGACCCACATCTCCATAGTTCTGAAGCAGAAAAAACTTTTGAAGGGCTACAAGAACGGAACTGCAGATGTCCACAGGACCATTGGATGACAGCTAAAAAAAATGTTCTCTTGATGTTCTCTTGAGCTATCTTCTAGACATTTCAAGACCAGGCTGAGTGCATGTGAGGGTGAACTTTGTTCCAGTGATACTGTCTAGCCTAGTAGTGACAGGCAGCTCAGAGAACACCCTACAGTTCAACCCTAAGACAGACAGACAAACAGACAGACATGCTCTACTATGGGAGCTTTCCTTTTTTTCATCAGTTGCCTAATCAACCTTCTGAGTTTTGCTAAATTTAATGGCCGTTGCTAGTGTTCAACATGGGCTTATGTCATTGTCGAATTTGGTAGTGATCTCCCAAATACGGGCATTTTAAGCAAATGTCACAGTCTGATTTATGCTGGTCTGTAACCATAATACAGATTTATTTGATTGATTGATTGAATGATTGATTGATTGATTGAATGAATGAATGAATGTATGTTTCTGATCATTCCAGTCTCTTTGCCAATACTCGAATAACTGTCTTATCCAAGATTTAATCTTCCAAAGCCACGCCTCTTGATCCAGCACCCCAACTTGAACTGAAGCTCAGATGAGCAGGGATAGTTTGTGAGAAAGTCTGGATAAATGGATTGTGTTTGTACAATAATCTTGTTGACCGGATGAATGGAGTCATCAGATTAGTGGTCTTGTGGGAATGTCGTTTCTGTGTATTGGGGTGGTTTAGCTTTCGCCGAATTCTCCACTATTTGGCGGCCATTGAGTCTTCTGCCTTTCTTCCAACAGAGTCACTTAGGAAATGTCTTGGTTGACATGAAACTCATAGACATAAAAGATACTTTGCCCGTCGGCTTCATCCCAATTCAAGAAACTATGGATACACGTAAGTAGAGTTAGTAGCCTTTACTGTGATCAGATCCTCTCTAGATTCAATCAGGGAGAGGATTCTGTGAAGCACCAGCTATGGATTGAGTTGAATTCTACCTGCATTCCTATTGTTGGGTTTCAGTTGAAGATCAACACATCAAAATCCAGACTAGACGAGAGAAGATCGAGGTTCTGGGGGGGGGGAGCTAAAAAATCCTGAACTATAGAAACATCTTGGTCAACATTCTGCCATTAGGATTGGTGCCTTCTGAGAAATTCTGGATGAATTTCCTCTCACACATAATAAGGAACTACCATAGCTGGAACCAATGTGAGCTTCATCCAATGTAGCTTGATGTCTAAGAGTTGTACTCTTGCCCTCCTCCCTAAGATAGCATTTTTTCTTTAGGATTGACACCATATACCAAGTCCACAATTTGCGTTTCCCTTCGGCAGAAGTTCAACCATGTTTTAAAGGTCCAGATATTCGTGTCTCTGCATGATCCAGGGATAGACGTTCTCTACAACTTGGCCAGAAGGCTTGGAGATGGAAAGATCCCAGGGGTGTGGGAAGGAGAAACTGGGAAAGTTCAAAGCAATTACTGTTCTCGTTCTTTGTGTCTGTCTGTTTCTCCTCTCCTCTAAGCCTTCAACTACTTGTAAAGAGAAGAGTAAGCTTGTAAACTCACACTGTCTTTTTCAGAAGAAACTGCTTTCCGGAAAAAGAGATTGTGCATTAAATTTATCCCCCGGGATTCTACAGAGGCCGCCATTTGTGATGTCCGCATACTGGGCCGAGGCAAACAAACTCCTCAACAATATACGTATATCGGGTATGGAGGTGTTTTTGTTTTTCAGGACTTTTCACTTGACTTTTTTTTTCAGATGACCGATTTCCTCTCCAGTGGGACCTCTTGTCTCATTTCTAAACCAGTTCTAAGGGTCTTTTGTTGTGTCTTCTTCCAACTCAATAAACCATATGATGAATGATTGAGGGAACTAGGTATGTCTAGTGTAACAAACAGAAGGACTAGGGGTGACATGATAGCGGGGTTCCAGTATTTGAGGGGCTGCCACAAAGAAGAGGGGGGTGTCCACCTATTCTCCAAAGCACCAGAAGGCAGAAGAAGAAGCAAAGGATGGAAACTAACCAAGGAGAGAAGCAACCTAGAACTAAGAAAGAATTTCCTGACAGTGAGAACGATTAATCAGTGGAACAACCTGCCTCCAGAAGTTGTGAATGCTCCAACACTGGAGGTTCTAAGGAAGAGATTGGACAACCATTTGTCTGGAATGGTTTGGGTCTTCTGCTTGAGCAGGGAGTTGGAGTAGAAGACCTCTAAGGTCCCTTTGAACCTATTACTTTATGTTCTGTGTTGAAGGAATCTTACTGTTTTCTCTCTTTGCTGGAAAGGGAATTGAACAACATGGGGATCTGGTATCGGATGGGGAAGGTCCCTCGAAATCATGAATCATCTCAGCCTACCACACCTTCTCCACAAGCACCAGCCACCACACCAGCTGCCAACCTTCCCAGGTGAGATATGGGCTTTTCATTCTTCCTTGCCAACAATGGTTTCCGAATGAACCTAAGTCAACAGTCTTTTCAAGCAAGGGCTGAAAAAGAGAGTTTTTAAAGCATAATTCCCCGCTTGGCTGCTATCTATGGCCACTTTGAAGTCTCCGGACTAAATTCCTAAGTTCAAAAACACCCAGTTTCAAAATCCCCTCACAACATCTTACACTCCCCTATGTCTAACCTATTTATCACCCATCTGTGTCTGTATTTGTGTTCCTTTCTCAGCTCTAGTAACAGCTATGACATTATACTTATTTTTTTTTTTGAATGGGCAGCACCAATCAATGGCAAGCAGGCTAGGAACTGGAAAAGAGGTGACACCTTGTCCTACCTAACATGGAGGGAAATTTGGGGGTCCTGTTACTGTGACAGATCTCCTCTTTCTCTTTTTTTTCTCCTCCTCTCTTTATCTTCTCCTTATCTACTCTTCCTTCTTCTTTGTCTCCTCCTCTTATTTGTTTTTCTCCTTATCTCTTCTTATTTCTCCTCCTCCCCCCTTTCCTTCCTTCCTTCCTTCCTTCCTTCCTTCCTTCCTTCCTTCCTTCCTTCCTTCCTTCCTTCTTTTTCTTTTTCTTCTCCTTCTCCTCCTCCTCTCCTTCTCTTTTCTCCACCATTCTATCTTTCTCTCTCTTCCTCTTCCTCCTCTTCCTCCTCCCCTCCCTCCCTCGTTCCCTCCCTTCCTTCTTTTTCTCCTCCTCCTCCTCCTCCTCCTCCTCCTCCTCCNCTCTTCCTCCTCCTCCCCTCCCTCCCTCCCTCCCTCCCTCCCTTCCTTTCTTCCTTCCTTCCTTCCTTCTTTTTCTTTTTTTCTCCTCCTTCTCCTCCTCCCCTTTTCTCCACCATTCTATCTTCCTCTCTCTTTCTCTTCCTCCTCCTCCTCACCCATCCACCCTCACTTCCTCCACTCCACCACCTTCATTCTTCAACTCTTAAGCAGGAGAGATGACGGGGAACGATTTATTGGTAGGAGAAGAGAAGTCAATCCGAATTGCAGACGAGCAGCAGAGAACCCAAAGATCGGGCAGCTTCCATTTTGTCTGGAAGCGAGAAGAAGCTGCGGGGGAGCCTTCCTTTTGTCATCCCTTTGCCCTGGTCTCCAAGGCTTGTTTCTCTCCCCCCCCCACCCCCAATTTATGGAAGGGAGAGGGGAACACACACATGTACACACGCGCACACACCAACCCACCCATATAGACACAGAGAGAGAGAGACGTCGTTTCTCTTCTTCCTCTTAGATTAAACCGCCTTCCTGTGCTGTCATTTGAATGCTGACGGGGGAAAGGGGATGCGTTACTTCTTTCTCAGCCGCTGGTGGGGAGAATTAATTGGCATTTGCTCATATTAATGAGCTCCCTCTCCCTGCCTCCCCCCTCCCCCCTCCCCCCCCAGTCTTCCAGCATTAGAGATTCTCTCCAAGTCCTAGTAATTAATTGTTAATCTCTTTTCAGGGCTAAGTTTGCCTACTCGCCGGAGTAGGACAGGAGGGAATAGCCCGGCTGCCGAACCGCCACACATAGCAAGTGGCAGGGAGTGGGGGGGGGAGTCCTCTGCCATGCCTTTGCCCCCCCCCACACACACTCCCCCTCCCCCCGTCAGGCGGCAGCGTGGTGCAGTGGGCAGAGTCGCGAACGTGTCACACATCGCCGGCGCATTCGGCGACGGTGTCAAAACACAACTTCAATTAATTTCCTCTAATTACGGCTCCAGAGAGACTGGCTTTTTATTGTTCCTCATTAAAAGGCATTGCCTTTTTCCTTTTTTTTATTTTTTATTTTTATTTTTTTAAATAGCTGCTTTTTTTGTTTGTTTGTTTATTTGTTTAAACGCCCCCCCCAATCCTCTTTCATTGGCTCACATGCAGCAAGAAATTCAGAAAGCTCTATTAATAAAGTATTTATGTATGTATATATAAAAAGAAATTCGGAAAGCTCTTAAGATGAAGGCCGGATTTGGTCGATGATACGTCCAGGGAGGGGTTAAAAATACAGATAGTTCTCAGCTTATGACCGGTTGCTTAGCAACTGTTCAGACTTCTGACGGACCTCCCTGAGGTAATTATGACCAATAGCTGCCACCCTTCCCTTCCCCCCCCGCCGTCACATGACTGCATGTCAGGCGCTCGTTAACCAGCCCACATTTACAGCCGCTGACCGTATCCCACAGTCACATGACCATTTTACCTCAGTGGTGAATTTTTTTCTGGAAAACCAGCATGTTTTTGGCAGAACCGACCCGTAGTGAGCAATTAATTTACTCAACGACTGCCACAAAAAAGGGATAAAATTAGGTTGGTCATACACTGCTGTACTATTATTTTCTGGAATTGACTGGCTATATCTAGCTATCTATATATTTATATATCTATATCACTCTTCATTCTGTCTGTCTGTCTACCTATAATCTATCTGTATCTATCTATCTATCTATCTATCTATCTATCTATCTATCTATCTATCTATCTATCTATCTATCTATCTATCTCTATGTCATATGAATCTATCTCTATCTATCTATCTATCTATCTATCTATCTATCTATCTATCTATCTATCTATCTATCTATCTATCTATCTATCTATCTATCCAAATACAAATATAAATAAAAGGCAGAATAAAAATAGAATTATAGTAATAAATTTCTCCATTCATCTATCTGTCTGTCTGTCCGTCCGTCCATCCATCCATCCATCCATCCATCCATCCATCCATCCATCCATCCAAATACAAATATAAATGAAAGGCAGAATAAAAATAGAATTATAGTAATAAATTTCTTCTATCCACCTGATTCCATCCATCTATCCATATCTATCTATCTATCTATCTATCTATCTATCTATCTATCTATCTATCTATCTATCTATCTATCTATCTATCTATCTATCTATCTATCTATCTATCTATCTATCTATCTATCTATCTATCATCTACAAATGGAAATATAAATAAAGGACAGGAGAAAAGTAGAATCCTAGTAATAAATCACTGAACTAAAATGCTTTCATATGTCTAAAGATAGGGTGATGGCAGAGTGATGGAAACTTTTTAAACAGTGTTACTAAGTGATGGCCCCTAAGTGATGGAAACTTTTTAAACAGTGTTACTGATAGTATACAACTATTGTTACCACTGTTACTAATAATAATAATAGAAAACTAGCAGTTGAGAGCAGAGATTTCAGATTTTAAAGGACCAACTATAATGAAAAGCTGGGGGGGGGGGGAATCAAAAGAATTTTGCTTGCCAGTTGAATCAGCCAAATGATATGTTTACAGATTTAACAGACATTTCTTTCTCAGTAGTCTGTTAAATCAAGATTTGGCTGTGTTACGTTGACTCGTCAATGCAAGATTTAGGTTACTTTTCCCCAGCTTGGACCTCGCCACACATCGAGTTGAGCAGGACTCAAGATTTTGACCTCTGAAATGATGCAATTTTGGGCTTTACTTGTCTTCATCTGCCATTTTTATTCCCCCACTTAAGTGCTGAATAATTTTTGAGATAAACTTTCTCCAGGGTGGCCTAGCTAACCTGAACCGTCTCGAAATTAGTCATCGTATTTAGTGACGGCTTGAATTGGAAGACTTTTCTAGTTTCTCCCCTCCCAGCCCCTGCCTCCTTCCCCAGCTCTCTTTTATATATATATATATATATATAATTTGACGAAGAACGTCACCCTAATTACATATTCAAATGCGAGGCCCGTGTCAATATGGCTCCTTGCTGCTTGAAATGATGATTAATTATATTCCAGATTCTAGCGGCCTCCGTTCATCTCAGCTGTGTTATTGTTCCCCAGTTGTTCTTCCCTCTTGCTCACCACTTCTTTCTCCCTTCCCTCTTCTCCACTTTTGTTCAGGAGCTGTTATTTATTTATTTGTTTGTTTACTTGTTTGTTTATTTATTTATTTATTTATTAAATGTGCATGTGTGAATGTGACTTTTCGAAATCGAAAGTAGTAATTGATTTGCCATATGCTGCCAAGCTGTTGGCGTTTAACAGTCTGCATTCAGGAACTCGGGGGTTATATTAAATCTTTTTGCCTCTGCCAGTAAATTAGGTTGTTTTGGGTTTCTGAGTGGCACATGTACAAGAGGGGAAGGAAAAATCTCCCTGTTTATAGTCTTAAAAATGATTATAAAATGTGACTTTTTAAAATAATACCAGCAGGAGATGTAGCTGGCAGCAGTAATGTTTAGGATCCGTATCTGGCTCATGCTTGCATTTGTGTAAAATCAATTCATGCCAGCAATTAGGACAGGTTTAAGATCATTTTCTTGTTTGTTTGTATCCCGTCTTTATTATTTTTACAAATAATTTAAGGTGGCAATCATATCCAACACACCTTCCTCCTCTTACTTTAACAACAACGACAATCCTGTGAGGTGCTTTGGACTGAGGGAGAGGGACTAGCCCAAGGTCACCCAGCCAATTTTCATGCCTAAGGTGGGACTAGAACTCAGTGTCTCCTGCTGATTGATCCACTGTCACTCAATCGGCTTTCATGCCTAAGGCAGGACTAGAATTCCCAGTCTCCTGGTGATTGGCCCGAAGTCACCCAGCCAACCTGCCTAAGACAGGACTAGAACTCGCAGCCACTAGTCTGGTGCCTTAAACACTAAACCAAACTGGTTCTATTATGGGCAAGTCAAGTCATCTTCTACTTAAGCTCTTGATAACCCAACTTCTTTGTTTTTTTTTTTCTTCCATTCAATCATGTCCAGTTCTGGGCTGGCCCCTGCAGTTTTCTTGGCAAGATTTTTCAGGAGCGGTTTGCCATTGTCTCCTTCCTAGGGCTGAGAGAGAGTGACTGGCCCAAGGAAAGTCACCCAGCTGGACAAGACGATCTGTCGAAGCATCCCTGCCTCCCTAATTTGGGATGGTTGTTCTTGAAGGTCAAGTCTGCTCTTTTGCCTCTTCTCTCTAGACATATATCGTTGACACTTCCCGCCAGCTTTCGAGGGAAAGGCAACGGCACTCGGCCAGACTTTGAGTACCAGCATTCCAATTTATATGCCATTTCAGGTAAGTGACAGATCTCCTTGCTTCCTAGAGACACCCTTGGGTGTAGCTTTGTCGCTTTGGGCAAGGAACAACTGATCTCCCTTCACAACAACAATACTTAACATTTGCCAAATTGAGCCTCAAATTTCATTAAGCAAGTTTTGCTCTGTTTTTAATGACCTTTCTTGCCAACTTTGTTAAGTATATCACTGCAGTTGTTAAGTTAGTGACACGTTTGTTAAGTGAACCTGGCTAACCCCATTGACTTTGCTAGTCAGAAGGTCCAGCAAAGGGGAATCACATGTCCTTGCGACCGTCATAAACACGAGTCAGTTGCCAGGCGTCTGAATTTCGATCAGGAGATGTTGCAACGCTTGTAAGTGTGAAAAACTCTCACCAGTCACTTTTTTCAGTGCCATTGTAGCTTCAAACATTCATTAAATAAATTGTTGTAAGTTGAGGACGACCTGTAACACTTCTGTAGGCCCTGGGGGGGGGGAGATGGCGTGCCCACACTGTAAAGAGGAGTGGTGCTTCTGAAGCCTCACCTTGTTGGTCAAGTGGTCAGTTAAGTAGTCCTTCTCAACAACAGTCCATCCTCAGACTGGATTCTTGGCCGTGTGACGGGGCGTTGAGAGAAGAGGACCAGATTCTCAAGAAGATCCAATAATCTTCTGACCTGCTGATCT